GTCGCGCGACCGGTCGTGGACTATGAAAGATGCCGACGAAGGATGTACAGTGACCGCAGACATCTACATTAAGCAACTGAGGAATTTGAAGGCGAAGCTCGAAGCTACACGTCCACAGCACCACAAGATTTACTTCCAGCACGACAACGCTCGGCCGCAAACTGCAAGAACGACCAAGACTGAACTAATGAATTTCGGCTGGACAATTTTACCCCACCCAACATACTCCCCAGACTTGGCTCCCTCGGATTACCATCTTTTTTCCCATCTCCAGCGTCTCTGGATGGTCGAGACTTTCCAACCCGCGAAGACATCAAAATGACATTCGAACGTTCTTCAAGGACCAGCCCCAGCGTTCTGGAGCAAGGGCATCCACGATCTGCCCAAGCGTTGGCAGAAGACCATCGATGCCAATGGGGCATATTTCAGATGATTCGCACTTCTCGTTTAAAAATGGTAAGATGAATATTTTTACTGTCAATTTGTCCGAGGACTTATGACTCAACCTAATACATAGAAGGCTAGAAGCCGCTAGTCTACTATGCTACAAATGAAAAAAAATGGGGGTAAGAAATCACAAATAATGTGAGCAAACTCAAGTACTTGAGGAAGAGAATTCCAGATTAAATTAGGACGTGATGAGACTGGTAGGAGCAAATCCAATGTAAATGATAGTGTGAGGGCTAAAAAGGACGAGGAGAAAGAGCTACAAGTTCATGACCCTGCCTTGCTCATCGTTTGAAAAATCAGCCTATTGATCTGAAGAATTTAGAAAGCGTCTCCGTTACCCGAATTAGGCCCTTAAAAGCTTCAAGAGTAGGTCATTGTAGTCCAAAAGATGATTAACAATGATTAAAAAAAGGAAGGAAACAATCATTTGAGCTGACCTAGCCCGTTTAGTCGCTGGGTCCCGCATCACCATACACTCGTTAACCTCACCGAAACGACCAAAATAATCACGAAGGCCCTCTGAAAACAACTCCATTTCATTTTACGGCACAACATTTCAAAAAAAAAAGTTTTAAAAAGAATGTTTACTCTCCGAAAATGGCTGTCAACATATGCAGTCCATACAGTACTCATTCCACGACGTTCTCAATGCAAAATTCTTTTAGGAAAAGTGTTCAGAAAGGGGAAGCTGCAATATTCTCAAAAGTAGTCCTATCTAATGTTCATTTACTTATTTATTTCTACATATAATTTCCCTCCAACAGCATTAGACATCAGAATCATTAAATCTATCAAATCTCGGAACATTCCTTACCAATGGATCTCACTAGTACGTTTCTGAACCCCAGAATGTATGTTTGCCGACAAGGTCTACATGTTTTTGGACCCGATGCGATAGGAATCAATGCAATCACGATTGCGCCGACAGAAAGCCGACCACAGAAGGAACCATCTCACAAGCCAAACAACGCCAAAACACATTTTCATGCCTGTGATTGACAGATAATCATGCTCTCGTATTCTCATGATGGGACTGTCACAGAGAATTATTCTTCTGATTTTCAATCAATGGGGTATAACCTAGCGCACACCAAATTATCCACTGCTCACCGGCCTAAACCCGCTGGGGAAGGGTATTGGGGTGTTGCCTTTTGATGACGAAAACTGTGGTTGTTCTCCTCACTTATTCATTACCTTTCGACAAAAATGTTTAGGAGCGCCCAGGAAAGCTACTCAAAAATTTCACAACTAATCATTTGTTATTCCAATCCTGATTTCAATCTCCTATATCCTATTCCGAGCAGCTTCCTGAGGGCTCGGATCGAATGAGACTAGAGCATCACTAACTAATACGATAATTATTACAACAATTAAGGGAACAAAACCATCCTCGTCTCACATCAAGCCTAAAACTACAAGCGTTCGATTTAATCGATGTTCTTGTTTGCTGACAATGAGACCGGCGGCAGCGGTAATGCGGGGGACAAAGAATAGTACGCGAGTGATGAGCAAAGCACAAGTGCATCTCCGAGTCCCGTCCCAGGTTACATTTTGCTTTTTGATCAGCACTGTCATGGCAGGTACACTTTTTCATTACCTAAAAAAAATACCTCCACAACCGTCTATGCCACAATTATCTTCCGGAAAAATAGCCGTATCGGTGGTTTCGAGGACCCAAATTTGCATAATATCGGGACGCTTGGAAAAATTTTAACTAAATTCTGCAATGGTCCAAATTCCTTCTGGGTGTTCCTTCTATATTCAAAAAACATCTGTAAAAGGGGGACAGTACGCACTTGGTATGCCAGTTATAGGATGAGTCGTTCGAAGCTCTCGGTGCAAGTTTTAGCCATGCGAAGATGAATCGTTTTAATTAAGTTCTCGGGTTTTTTAAAAATTTTGTAAAACTACGTGACCAATTTTGTAACCGCTTCTCCCCACTCCTTCAGATTCATAAGAACGCTCAAAGTGAGCAAGAAACCTCTTCCCAAACCCAAAACAAAAAGTGCTTTCAGGGCAATACTATACGAGTTGGTACCGTGATACAGCAAACCAAACACATTCATATCACTCAACAGCTACCATCGCCTGATCGCGCTGTCGAAAAAACATGCTGCCATTCTTCCCCTTGGCAGCCAAAACAACAACAGCGCCCTTCAATGCACTCGCAGTAAGCAATAGATACAGCCACACAGACACTCACCAGCCGTTGTTTGCCAGCTCAAACCGCCGATGAACATCTTCCTGCAAAACGTACATATAGATGGCTCGAAAAGAGCAGGGTGAGATCTTGTGAAAAAAGGTGGTCAGGGCTTTGAAGTACAGTGGAGAGTAGTTCACAACTTCTTGGAACTACTCAGCCATCTTTAAATCTTCAAGCTATCGAATATCCCCTTTACTATCGCGATGCTGGAGTAATTATGTAATTAATCGAGAGCGAACTTTGGCAAAGTCAACTAGATCGAAAGTTTTTGAGAAAAGGAAGCTATGGGGACGCTAACTTTTTCATAAATTCGTTCCTCACAACCCTTGCAGGTCTCCGCACTGCGTGCCAAACTGTTCTTGCTTGAATACAGATTCGCACTATCATGAGATAGATCCCTATGCATCCCTACAAGTTAGAGCGGATTGCCTGCAGCAACAGGAATTCAACGGAACAAAGCATTTTCGTTTGCGATAAGCCGAACCGAAGGAAATTCGATCGCTCGCACCTCATATTGATCGGCACAGAACAGCTTGAACGAAATCCAATACCACACCTCCCAACATTTTCAGTGCCGTCCATCGCGAACACTGCTTCACTTACCCAGGATCCTGAGCCTGTGAACCGTCGTCGGAGTCGGCGTTGAGTCGGGCCTCATCGTGCTTTCCAGAATCACCCGTAGGGCTGCCACTACCACCACCGCCGCCACCACCACCAGTGGTTGAATTATTCATCGCAGCCGTCGAGGTCGAGCCGCCGCTAGTCGCCGTGTGATGGTGCTCGTCCATAAAGCCACAACACTACACCTCTGAAAAAAGCGTAATAAGTCTGATATTTTATGACAACCTTGAAATTTTATCGACAGTTGCTGCCAGAGACCTTGCTGTCTCTAAAAAGGTGAAATGAACGAAGATCTTCTGCTCAATCCTCCATTCTTTCCAACAACAACTCAGCTTCGAGGAAATGAGCAAGACAGTGTTTACGCAGATAGTATTGGTATTTTGAAGATGAATTATCAATATTTTGAGTTTACGAGTCATTGGAGAAACTATCGCGAAAACGTCAACATGAAAAAGAACGAAGGGCACACCTGCTGAGGAACGGAATGAATAGCCACTAAACATTCAACTAGCAAGCGGCTTTCGCTTACACCAAACACTTATGCCAACAGCAAAGAGCATACGTTGAAAAGCCAGTATCGTGTCAATAAAAGCCTTCTGTACTGTACAGAACAGATACACTTGTTACGAGAATCCACACGTGTTCTGGTGGCTTGTCCTCACAAATGAAAAAGATCGCTCGCTGATCCATAAGCCATACCCTTCTCGACATTCGTCATCTAACTGCTACGGAAGAAGGTGAAGTCAATTTTGAATACTGATAAAGAGGTACTTTCCTAGGTATAGCCCAGTGTTCATACTAGACTAGGGAGTTCACATTCAACAAGAGAAAGAGCAAAGGACTATTACAGTATTCAGACGATGTTGTTTTGTTACGAGATGAGAACATTAGAGACAAGACAACTTGTGATAGGAGAAAGCTGGTCACAAAGGTGGGGCTTCCTGACAGACAGCAGAACCTCACTTTCCAAAAGAATGCGGGAAATGTACAAGAAAGTGTCCAATCTAGAAAATATCTGAACTGTAGATTACCTTCACATCTATTAGCGCACGTCCCCTTTGACTGAAACAACCTCAGCAATTCGGAGAAGTTAATGAAATGAAGCCAGTCGATAATCAAAATAGTGGTCGCATGTCAAACAAAAACATCAAAATACCCACTTTTGACTTCACTAAAAAGTCGAATAAGCTAGTTTCACTGCATTCTACTAATAGAGGTGAAAAATATAGAGGGTAAAAAGCTTAGACAAAAATCCCTTCGCGGATAAGGACGTATGACTTCGATTAGAACACCGGATGAATCCCTTGAATCGTGGGAAGGCGATGCGGCACCTTCAGCGAATACGCCCAACCGCTAGAACTGCAACGAAGTACTTCGTGAATATTCCATTCTATATCTCCAAGCATAGTAAATGAAGCGTTCTGAAGATTAAGACTCATCTGAGTGAGGAATAAAAAGATGCCTCACAAAGCTCATAAAATGTGAGTAAGCTTGCTGAACATTTAGACGAAAAGAGTTCCAGCAGTTTTTCGCTCTCCAGCAATGGAGAACTCATCTCGACTTAAGAGTGAGTACAGCAAGAAGAAACAAATGAAGTACAACTGAGGGTATAATTTGAAAATGAAGTTTTCACTAATCCCGAACCTCACACTAACAAAAAGCTGTACTGGTGTGATTTCCATGTCACAAGTCGTTTTTTTTTCCGGACTGACAAAGGATATGCAACCATCCGCATATTTACAGTAAACAAAGAAGCAAACAAATACGTTGAACGACTTCCTCTTCTTCAATCAATCACGACGGCGAACGGCCGGTCAGCGCAACGCATGTGAAAGCAATCCTTATACAACAATTTTCGTTCAAGGACGGAATTGGTCAGCCAACGAAAACATACTAAAGAAATTGTACACAGCTTTCTCTCTTAGGTTAGTCGCAGCCAATCGGGTGTGAAGGACGGTAGAAATAAAAGGCAGAAATCGGAATAAGACATACAATGTTCAAGACTTAAAGGTACAATTCACAATAAAAATGTTTTCTGAGATTTCTCCCTGGGATGAACCTGTGGCAGCAGAACACAAGGGACGCCATTTAGTTAAAAACGGCCTATTCCATATCACGCCTAAGTAGATGACTTCTCACGGCGTTGCAGGGCTTGTAGAGGTTGACCATTCGCACCGGTGCGCCCACGTTACACGCAGGCAGCTTACTGTGACCAACTATACGCAATTACACGCGTATTAGAAAAGCTCGTCCAGGTACCCCTTCCATGCAGATTGTGTCACCCACTCGTCCAACCCCTGATTTACCCGCTTTTTTAAACCTTAAACCTCTCCAAATACGCCAATTTTCGCGTTTTCTTTGCTGCTCACTATCCTGGACCATTACTTCTGTTATTCGTCCAAAACTATATACCCCTAAGTCATCGCTGCGCCATTAAGAATCCGTTCTGATTGCGCTACGCACCTGAATTCTCAAGACGAAACCTCGTATGGCGTAAAATACGATTAGTTCAGGTAGAGGAACGGAAATGATTCCCTTATTTCGGCTTGATGAATGTTTTTTTCTATCACCTCTATCACCTGTCGCCCCTTTTGATCATCACTTCGTCGGGCGGGCGCCAGTAATGTCTCCACTCGTCCCTGTTGCGAGCCAGAGCAGTCCAGTGAATCATAGTAGCTCGAGGGGCACGGGGCGAAAGTTTTTTCGTTCAG